CATTTAAAGTTAGACAATTTACATAACAGCAATATATTTTTCTTTCCATTTCAGGTTTTGTAGCGGAGTAGTAGGTAAGATAATTCATAAATATATTAATATAAGTTCATCATCATCATGTACCCTGCCAACTGGCATAGGCGCTCATGCGTCTCCACAGATCACAATCCCTGGTTGCCTGAAACAGCTCTCTTGATGATATCCCTTCATGCCATCGTTTCAGCCCATCCAGCATCATCTCTCTTGGTCTACCTCAACCAATTTTCCACTGATCTTTCCAGTTGTCATGATTTTCTCCAATGTCCCTCTTCTCGTTATGTGTCCAAAGAACAGTGTTTGTCTCTTTCTTATTATCATATAAGAGTGGTCATCATCATCTTGATGGACAACACACACATTATCATATAAGTTATTGTTTTTAAATTGTAACATATTGCCATAGTTTCGTGGCAGAAGTGGTCAAGCCGTTTGCCTCGCGCACTGAAGGCCATAGCTTCGTTTAACAGCAGCGTTGTTTAGTTCACACCTGCAGTTTTTAGTCTCTAGGGATCATCGCTGGAGCTACGAAATTCCTGCTTTGTGCGATGCTTTTGGCCAACACCCAGAATTGATTGAAAGAATTTGAGACGGACATTTATTAACTGGTGCCTGCGCAGAATAGAGATAATTAAATGGTATGGTAGAATAACTGATATAGAGCTTTGGGAGAGAACTAAACAGGCTCCAGTGGACCAAGAGGTGAGGAAAAGACGCTGGAGTTGGATAGGACACACATTGAGAAAACTGGAGAATAATATATCTAGAATGTCTTTGCATTGGAACCCACAGCGGCATAGGAATAAATGAAACCCAAAAAATACACGGAAAAGAGAGCTGGAGATAGAAGTTGGAAAGATGGGGAGGACAAGAGGAGAGCTGCATGCGATAGCAAAGGATAGAATGACTTGACGTGAGTTGGTTGAGGGCCTATGCTCCATTGGGGGCTAGAAAGGCAGAAGAAGAAGATGTGAGACAGAAGGTTGTGAATAAATATCACTACTAATGCCACATGACACGGTCTGTAAGAAGAACAGCTGACGATTACAAAACGTGACAGATAGTATTGTTGACTTCATTCAATAGTTTAAAGCAGCAGATTCCAACAAGTGTTCCGTGGGACCCTGAGGGCTCACCGAGCACTTCACTGGGCCTCCTCGTGCACTTCACTGGGGCTCCTCATGCACTTTGCTGGGGCTCCTCTTGCACTTTGCTAGGGCTCCTCGTGCACTTCACTGGGCCTCTTCGTGCACTTCACTGGGTCTCTTCATGCACTTCACTGGAGCTCCTTGTGCACTTTGCTGGGGCTCCTCGTGAACTTCGCTGGTGCTCAGTGGCTGCTTTAGGGAAATAAATAAAAAAAAATGGATTGACATTCATCGATAGGAAATAGAATATTTCCTCAAAATGTCCCACCTCGTGTCTGAGTAAGCAAAATAAGTTTTGCTGCTTTTATCAACTAGATATCTTTACAAAGTGGAATCCTCCATGTTTACTGCTGCCAAAACAAAATAGATTAGCCACAGAAACAGATATTGACCTGGCGCTCACACACAGAGTATCTCACAGAAGCGCTTCAAAAATTTAGGCTTAAAAGATGTGCAGTTACTCACCATAAAGTGTCTACAAAAGATGCAGGTACTCAACTACAAAGCATCTATCACAGAAGCGCTGAAAAAAAAACCGCCCTTAAAATAAAGGAGATGGTATCAAGTATCGTTGCATACAGCTGAGGGGGGGGGGGGGGGGATGATATTTTACATTTTGAATTAATCAACATTGTGCCCTCGGGACACTTCCATAAGCGCTCTGTCCTCATCTTCAGCAGCAAGCAAAGAGTTCCAATTCCGTTGGTACCGGTAACTGTCTGAATGTAAATATGTCTCACCTTTCACTTGAGTGTCAGCCAGATCCCCTGGTAACTCCCTGCAACGACATTCTCCTCAGACCGTAGTGATCTATTTATTTGTGCATCCACACACTTCCCTCGCTTCCAAAGGGCCCTCACAACATCTAGCTTTTCATACATCAGTTCACCACCGTGGTGCAGAACTGCCAAATGTCATGATGATAACTAATAGTATTTCATGCATTGTTGTTCTGTCTAGATTCTTTAACTTCCTTCACCGTCTCAGTACCAGATTGATGCTAATGTGCAATGTTTCAGGCATCGTTGATGTGCCCTACCTTGTGCTGGAGCCAACCCACAACAAACAGGACTTTGCTGATGCCAAGGAGTATCGTCATTTGCTGAGGGCCATGGGTGAACACATGATACAGTACTGGAAAGATGTTGGCATTGGTAATTTTTTTTTTTTTAAACTTGTACCCTTATGTCAGAAGTCTTTGGTTAAGCACAGCAAGGAGATCAAAATTAGAATTTTGAGAGCATGTATCTTCCCTGTAGAAAAATACTGATGTAAATCGTGGACTATTTCCCAGTCCTTATAAAAGAGAATAGTGGCTTTTGAGCTGAAATTCTCAGAATATCTTGGACAAAGAAGAGGAGAAATACTGACATCTTGAAAGATCAGAACATTAAGGAAGATTGGCTAATAAACAGCATCCTGTCTCGGAAGCTGTAATATTTCAGTCATATCAAACGCCACGACAGATTGAAAAAAATTATAACAGAAGGCATGGTACCAGGAAGGAGGGGCAGGGGCTGACCGACATGAAGATGGGCACATGATATAAGTGACTCCTTGAGTATGAAAGTAAATGAGGTGGGAAAGGTGGCGAGAGATTGAGTTTCTTTCAGCCAGACCGTGACGAGAGCAAAGTTCTGCAAAGGACTTGCTACATGATGATGATGATGACCCTTCTGTCAGTATTTGTGACTTAAGCATTGCAAACACACTCTGTAAAACCGGGGTGCCGGATTCAATCCCATCAGGCGGGAGAGCTGGCGAGAGACCGAGTTTCTTTCAGGCAGACCATGATGAGAGCGACGTTTTGCAAAGGACCTGCTACATGATGATGACCCTTATATCAGCATCTGTGGCTTAGGTGTTGCAAACACACTTTGTAAAGCTGGGGTGCCGGGTTCAATCCCAGCTGCAGATAATTTGTCTTGCGTGGGTTTCGACAGTGGTACCAAGCACTGACTGTTCAAAAAGTAATGGCAAACTTCTGAACATAAAATTGACCTAGGAAAACCTCATCAGTCAAAGAATGCTAGGGTTGGTTCTGCAACGAATGTCCTGTAAAGGATACACACTTGACCTTTTTAACTATTATAAACCCTTTCAACACCCTCATTTGAAAGGGTGTTTGTCTCTCTTTGTAGATTGTCTCTTTCTGATGTGGGCAATTTATTGCACAGAAACATGAAGATGGTCATTGTTTGCCATCTCACATGTTAGTTTGTTTGATTTATCACCTGTAAACTCCAGCTGTCTATTTCTGGACTTTGGTTTTGTTTCCATGCATCAGTTTTAAAGATCTATCTTGTCAGTTGTTTCCTTGCCTATCAGGCAGATCCACTTTGAATTAAACCTGCCATCTCACATGATTGCCGCGGCATTCATAGATTAGGTCTGTTCTATTTTTGTGTATCTGTAAAATAGTCCAATCAAAACTAGCATTTTTACGGGATGAAGAATATTCTGTGCAGTGTATCTGTGTCAGTTGAGACTAGAAGGATAGTTGTTAAAATCTATATAAATCTATTGTGATATACGGAAGTGAATCATTGACTGTTGATAGATTAGTGAAAAATAATTTGGAAGCTGAGGAGATATGTTTTTATGGACGAATGATGAGAATACCCTGGACAGATAAACAGAATAATGAAGTCGTCTGGCTCTCCTTTAAATAACGGTCGCTAGCTGGAAGGCGACGGTCGCTTAGTCGGAGTTCACTCCCTTGGCTGCAGTGCAAATACGGAGTGGACAAGTCACGAATCAAAAACGAAAATTTTCACATATAGCGGCCGTTATTATGGGTAAGTACTCGACGCTACATGTGTTACCCTAACCCAAACCCTAAGCCTAGCCTAACCCTAAGCAACCATAGCATGACAGGTAAGTATGTCATTTGTTTCGTTCCCTCTCTACCACTCCGTATTTGCACTGCAGCCAAGGGAGTTAACTCCGACTAAGCGACCGTTGCCTTCCAGCTAGTGACCGTTATTTAAAGGAGAGCCAGTCGACTTGAAAGCAACTGACTCACAAAGTGAACTAAATGCCCACATCAGAAAGAGACAATCTACAAATCTACATTCTTGAGTCAGGTGATGAGAAGGAGAAAACTGGAGTACATCGTGACAGTAGGAAAGCTGGAGGGGAGGAGAGGCAGAGGGAGACCAAGAGAACAGATTCTGGACAGTTTGACATCATGGCATGGAGTTGATGTCAGAGTTGATTGAACGTATACCACAAGACAGATGGTTGTGGATAGACATGACTACCAATGCCACACAGCATGGACTTTAAGAGGAAGAGCCAGTTATCATGGATGGAAGTGAATCACGCTGGCAGTCAATTATGAAATTATGTTGAAGCTGCAGATAATGATCTTACAGAAGGATGGCGATGAAATCATGAACATTTAAAAACAGTAAGGGGGATGGTTGCCTTGAGAAAAATCAACAGTGAGAGAGAGAGAGATAGTGAGAGAAATACAGTGTATGAAAGAGAGAAAGAGATAGAGTGATAGAAAAATAGAGGGAGGCTGAGAGAGAAATAGAGACTGAGAGAGAGAGAGAGAGAGAGAGAGAGAGAGAGAGAGAGAGAGAGAGAGAGAGAGAGAGAGAGAGAGAGAGAGAGAGAGAGAGAGAAATAGATACAAAGAGATAGAGAGAAATAGATACAAAGAGATAGAGATAGTTGGTTGCCTGCAGCAGAAGAAGCAATCCCCATTTATTGGACACATCAAAAGAAGAGAGTTGGAAAAAAGAAAAGCATGTGTTTAAAAAAAAAAGTATCAAAATGGGCATTAAACTTCCTTGTCTTTACTTTCAGCCCAGCAAGGCATCACAAAGTTTTGGTGAGTGTAGTGTTTCTGTCAAGTGTACGGCTGTATTGACTTTATTATACCGTTTTTTAGGGGGAGTGGGGGTGGATAAGGGATGCTATTATTTTTTTGAGGAGCCAAGTTTGAGTCACAGTAGGGGCACATTCAAGTTGTAAATTCTTTTGGGGACGGGCAGTATACACCAGATACACTTCATTGTGTGAAAGGGTCTCTTTACTAGTCACTTAAACATGCAGTATGTTGAATGTGGAATCGACAACACAGCATTCAGGATACTCCCATAAGCACTCCTTCCCCATCTTCTGCAGCAAGCAAAGAGATCATACAGTGAACCTTGTTAACACAAAACTCATTTAAGAAGAACACTTGGTTCTTGGTTCGCATGAACACAAAATTTTGGTTCTGGCAGGGAAGTATTAGTATTGGGTTAGTCTCTGGTTAGCACAGGTCTTGTTTAACACACTTCCCTGTGTGGGTTTCAGGGCCCTGTTATAGGGAAAACAAGAATAGACCCACTGCCTACCCAAAAGCATGGTCTAGGAGTCGACTAATTGGGAGCTTCCTTTTAAGTGGGAGTGCATCTGCCTGAGAAGCAAGAAACCAGCTGTCTGTGTACAAATGAGTCAGATTCTGTAAAACGGATGCACACACAACACTCAGGTTCTGGAACAGGACTGCAGTCTAGAAGTGGATAAACAACCAGAAATTTTGACCAGAGTTTACAGCTGGTGAACATGAAGAAGAAGTTTAACACAAACTAATTTTTGGTGGCTTGGAATTCACTTTAATAAGGGTTTACTGTATAATGCAGGGCTTTTCAACAGGCGGCCCGCAGGTGAAATCCGGCCTGCAGTGGCCTGACAAGTGGCTTGTGGATCATTGTCAAAACAGTGATCTTTTTATGCTGGGGTTTTGGCTTCTGGCCCATGACAACCCCCATTTTGGGTATTTTGGCCCCTGAGTAAGCTTAGTTCCGTAGCCCTGGTAAAATACAACGGCTCTGAAAATTATGGCTTGTCAGTGTTGGCCTCTATGGCCTTCATAATGCCTGGGTGCCAGGTTCGATCCCAGTTGCAGATGAGTTGGCAGCAGGCCGCCTTGTATTGATTTCGACAGTGGTATTGATAGCTTACTGTTCAGCAGCAGTGGCAAACTACTGAGCCTAGAAAAACCATAACAGCCCCATCAAATGCAGGAGCTGGTTCTGCAGCATCCTGTAAAGGACACACAACAAACTTTTTCAGTGTCAGTGCTTTGCTTTCTATTTTGTTTATGGAAAGTTAAAACACAATTGCTCTAATTTATTTGCTATTCAGGGAAAATTTCGGCTACGTCAGTTCTGAATGGAAAGACCTTCCTTCAGAAGATATCAAGTTTATAAGGAAGCGAGCTATGCAGCTGAGTGTGACACTGCAGTGTGGTAAGTGGTACTTTATCTCTGTTCCACCTACATCCACTTTCAGCAGGCTGGTAATCAGTGGCCTATTATGAGAAGCTTGTTAAGGGGTGATGGGAGGAGAATGCTATGGGTAATGTGTGTAGGGGGAAAATCATGGAGGCAGTTGCAATAAAGGAAAACAATGAATGCCAAAAGGTTAAGAGCTGGGCGTCTGAGAGGAAGTGCACTAAATACATGTTATGGCAACATCATCATCATCATGTGCCCTGCCAACTGGCGTAGGCGCTCATGCGTCTCCACAGTTCACAATCCCTGGTTACCTGGAACAGCTCTCTTGATGATATCCTTCCATGCCATCATTTTAGCCCATCCAGCTACATCTCTCTTTGTCTGCCTCTACTGATCTTTCCGGTTGTCACGATGTTCTCCAATGTCTCTCTTCTCATTATGTGGCCAAAGAACAGTTTTCGTCTCTTTCTTATTGTTGTATATAGAAATCTACTTTCATTAGCCTCTTTCAAGCAATCGTTGTTAGTTACTATTCGTAACATTGGTAATCTGTCGACTAACTGACTAGATGTGCATTCAACACTCAGGTTCTGGAACAAGACCAGAGTCTGGTGTTGGATGAACAACCAGAACTTACTGCTTTAGTTTACAGCCAGTGAACATGAAGAAGAGGAGGAGGAAGGTCTGGCTGTAAAAATAGGAGCCTAACATGGGTAAACCCAGTGGGCCACTGATGAGAAAATGACTCATTACCTTACATTGCCAGCAGCAGTAGGTATCATTATAAATACAGACTTCTTTTTTAAGCAGCAACGAAATTCATAATCTGTTTAAATCACAACTGATCACTGGCATCATGAGAGCTAATAGATTGAAATGGTTGGGGCATATTGAGAGAATTTTAGATGCCAGAGAAGTAAAAACTGAATACACAAGGGAGATGAATGGTCGCAGACCATGAGGCAGACCAAGAAGACGATGGAGAGATAATGTCCAGACAGACCTGCAAACACTTGGTGTCACCAACTGGAAAGAGAAGGCCAACCAGGGAGATGAATGAAGGTGGGTGATATCTGCAGCAGTGAACCTCAAGGGCTCGGAATGCTGAAGAAGAAGATGTTCTTTAAGAGATTTCTATGGAGTGGTGGTTAATCCATTTATCAGGTTCTGAAGGTCTCAAATGTGGGTATGGACTGTTCTTTTGTTTCACAAGAGCAGTGATTTTTGTGCATTTCTGGAGGTTCTTGACCACATTCCCCATCAAGTGCCAGTGATTTTTGTGCATTTCCTGGAGGTTTTTGACCACATTCCCCATCGAGCGCCAGTGATTTTTGTGCATTTCCTGGAGGTTCTAGACCACATCCCCCATCGAGTGCAAGTGATTTATAGCACCATGTGCCTGAATGTGACAGTGGTGTGCTCAGTACCCTTTTCATGTCATGTTTGTGGCTGGTTGGACATCCTGTCCCACATGGGAATGGCAGATTACACCTGGCTAGCGTCACCGTTACGGGTACCATAATTATAACTTCTGTTTAAAATCTCAGGGTGGTGGGGTAAACCGTTAGGTCCCAGCTTAGAGGTGACAGTCTGATCCTTTGATCCATCCAGGTGACTGGTTAAATTGTTTTTAATCTCAGGTTGGTGGGATAAACTTTTAGGTAACAGCTTGGAGGCGATAAACCGATTATTTGATCCAACCAGTTGACTAGTTAGATTTTTTCAATCTCAGGTTGGTGGGATAAACCTTTAGGTAACAGCTTGGAGGTAATAAACCGATTCTTTGATCCATCCAGATAACTGGTTAGATTCTTATTTAAAACAGGGAGTAAGGTAGCCACTCTCACCTTAAGATTCTTCTTATCTTTTATGTGCAGTGTTAAAAAATATTAATAACAATGTTGCTGTTTAACCTCCTCTGATGGCTCTGAAAACCTGTGTATGTTTTTTGTCATTCTGATTTATTCAGGAGTGTAAACAATATAACCAGCCATGCATTATTTACTCAAGGGGTTTGCATGAGAACTGGCCGCCTCATCCCAATAAACAACTGACTGCAGAGTACAACTAATAGATAAGACTACACAGGGATCGATGTGAGTTGGGTGAGGGCCTTTGCTCCATTGGGTATTGAAAGGCAGGAGGAGGAGAAGAGATTGTACCATTGATCACCCTTAAAATTGTGGCTGCCTTTCCTTTTGGGTTGACTAATCTGCACACGGCTCCATGGGCAGGTCCCGTAAAGACAATACCTGTGGGTCAGGGGAAGTCACCTCACATATAAAGTTACAAATGTCCCACGAAACCAACTGTGGAGGTTAACCTGTGTAACAAATGCCCGAAGAAGTTGGATGTGTCGGCTGAAAGGGGCAAAATCGGAGCTGCACAAAGCGCATTTGTGTCACGCATTTACAATCTTTGTTCAGATATGTATTAATTAATGCATTTGTAGAATGTCATCACCCACCAAGGGCCGGTTGGTTTTTGAAAAATATGAGTTAGGCATCTTATGCCTGACGCAGCACTGCTTAAAAAGAGTTCTGTACTCTTCTTACTTCATATGTCAAAGGTATGAATCTTTTGTGTACACTGTATATGAATGTACTGTTCTCAGATATGTGCCTGAAATGGAGAATGATTCCCTTCAACTCGAACAACATTGGCAAAGATTTCCCTGACCACTGGGTTTGCACGATGAACCCGGACCAGCTGCACAACAAGTAGGTGATTCACCATATAAGGCACACTTTTTTGTTCTCATAATAGTCCATACAATTAGGCTGCATGCTATACAATGAAGGTAGACCTACATGTACCGTAATTTCTCATAGTTGCCCACAATGTGAGGAGCGGTTGGATGAATGGTTGGAATGCTGGGCTCTCAAGCGGGAGACCCAGGTTTGAATCCTCGGTAGAGCTTGGGATTTTTTAAATGGGTGGGGGGGGGGGGGGGGGGGGATATAAATTATCATCTGCACAGTTGTTGCAACAGCAGTAGCCATGCAGTCGTAAATCATCAGGCTCAAAGTTCACACCCCCCCCCCCCCCCCCCCCCCCCCCTTACACTGCAAAAGTGGTAATAAAGGCAGTTATTGCCATTTTTTTTATCGGCTCGCAGTGTGGAAAAAGACAGTAAGCATTTTTAAACTCCAGGTGATAAAATAGGCTGAAGAACACAACTCAGCAGAATGCGATTTTGAACCTCCACCAATGGAAGGAACCACAAGGCTTTGGCAATCTCCGCAAGATGTTTTGTGAAAATGAACAAAAGAAAGCGTTACAACTTGGAAAAAGTGCAGAATGGCCGGAATTAGACTTAAAAATTCAAATAAAACCAGATGTCTCTTTTCCATGCCTTTAGGCGTTTTGGGACACATCAGCTGCTTTTACTTCCCAGCACTGCACCTGGTACCCACTTAAGGCTGGGTCGACCTGGGAGGTAATTTTTGAAGAAAAGTCAGGCTCCGCCAGGATGCGAACCAACAACTTTCTGATCCACAGGCGGGCATCTAGCCGCCAACACAACGGCGACTTCCCAAATATTGAAATGGGTGCAAGAATTGGACTGAGTCTCATAAAGCTGAGCATCTTATGTGCATTGGCTGTTGTGGTTTCCTAGGCAAATTTACGTCCAGTAGTTTGCCATGTGTCAGTAGTGTGACTGCAATAATTGTTTTGGTCTAACTGCAGTAGCTGTCTTTCTTAAATTGTTTGTCTTTAACAATTTCAGTCCCAAACAATTGTCACTTAAAGGTGTTTTATTCTAAGAAATTGTGCTTGAAAGTATTACATGTTTAAGTCTGAAAGAGTTACCCAAGAGATGTTATGAGACAGTAGGAGTTACACAGAAAATTTGGATACATTGAACCACTGTAGCCTTTACATGTTAAAGAAGAATGCAGGAACAGGATGCTGTTGTATTCAGATTGATCAGTAACAAGTATGGTGAGTTGTTAGGCATTCAAAGAGTAAGACTCCATCCATCCATGTTTTTGAAAGAAAAAATCATCACATTCAACCAGCATCGCTGAAGGGGGGGGCTTTAGATTATAATTGTGATTAGGTTATGTGTGCCATATAAAATGGCTAGGCATTGCTTGCCAACCAAGAGCCCTGGAAAGGACTTCTGCAGTATTGTTGCGATTAAAGGAGACAGACCCAAATACTGTCCTGACTGGCGACGAAGTCATCTACCGGCAAGCCGATGGGTAATGATTTTGTTTTTATACTATACCCATGATTTCTCATATTTGGGATGCAGAAGTACTGATCCACACAGAGTAGTGAACAAGCACCAGGGCTTATGCTGTTCAGGATCTGTCTACAGATGTCCACCATCATCCTAGAAACAGGTTACCGACTGGCGGCCTGGACAGCATAGATAGGATAGGCATTGACTGCTAAGTCGAACTGCTTATGTATGCCTGAGAGGCAAGGAACTAACAGTCTGCACAGAAATCTGTAAAACAGATTTCTGTGCAACATTAAAGTCATGGAACAAGATCGAAGACAAGAAGTGAACAAATGACCATGATTTTCCCACCAGTGTTCACATGTGGTCATCGCGAAGAAGAAGAATTTCTAACGTTTTATTTATCATAGTGTTGATATTTAGGATCAGATTTCCTGTACATGCTCTAATGAATTCTTCGTTTCTGTACCCAGATGTTCATCAGCAGAGCAGAAACTGAATATTCCAGAAGGTGTTTTGAAGAAAGAGTTTAAAAGTCAGGAGCAGAAGAAGAAAGATCTAGAAGAGGTGGGGATTTTTTTTTTAGAGTATCGAAATTGAAATGAATTTTGGACAGTTGGTAAATTAGTGACAAATTATTTGGAAGCTGCAGAGATGTGGTTTTATTGACGAATGATGAGGTTACCCTGGGTAGATATAAATAATAATGAGGATGTCTTGAAAGAAATTTGACTCACGAAAAGAACTGACTGCCCACATCAGAAAGAGACAATCCACATTTTTTGGTTATGTGATGAGAAGGAGAAAACTGGAGTACATATGAAAGTTGGAGGAGAGGCAGAGGGAGACCAAGAAAAAAGATGCTAGACGATTTGACATCGTGGCGTCTAGTATCATCTGTAAAAAGTTGATTAAAAGTACACTAAACAGAAAGTTGTGGATAGACATGACTACCAACGCCACACAGCATGGACTTTAAGAAGACGAATTGCATTTTTAAAATGTTTTACGAGAGTTGTGCTGTGGAAGAGATTAGGTAGGGCCTCTTACTTACTTACTTAGTTGATCGTCTTCTAGCTTGGGGTGTAGAGGTTTGCCAGAAAGATCGCCAGACTTTTCAGTCTGCAGTTTTCTTTCTGGTTTTGTTCCATTTTAGTCTACTGTCAGTCAGGGACAGATATTGTCCTAGCAACCCTTCTGGTCTGCTACCCTGATTCTTGACACCTCCCTCCCCCACCACTGCCATGGTGAGATTCTCGCCCATTCTGCATACAGATTGGTGCCTCACTATGCCATTGTCCCACAGACAACAGTTTGTACGCAGTAGCCACTCTTCATTATGGAGGCAGCATTCCAGAAATGACCTTCCAGCTCTGTTTTAGTAAAGCTAGATCACAAAGCAGATATTCTTGCAGGATTCCATCATTGGAGTGACCTAGAACAAGAACCGGATCTTGTCATTGGAGTGACCTAGAACAAGAACCGGATCTTGTCATTGGAGTGACCTAGAACAAGAACAGGATGTTGTTATTGGAGTGACCTAGAACAAGAACAGGATGTTGTCATTGGAGTGACCTAGAACAAGAACAGGATGTTGTCATTTGAATGATCTAGAACCAGAACAGGATGTTGTTATTAGAGTGACCTAGAACCAGAACAGGATGTTGTCATTGGAGTGATCTAGAACAAGAACAGGATGTTGTCATTGGAGTGACCTAGAACAAGAACAGGATGTTGTCATTGGAGTGACCTAGAACAAGAACCGGATCTTGTCATTGGAGTGACCTAGAACAAGAACCGGATCTTGTCATTGGAGTGACCTAGAACAAGAACAGGATGTTGTTATTGGAGTGACCTAGAACAAGAACAGGATGTTGTCATTGGAGTGACCTAGAACAAGAACAGGATGTTGTCATTGGAGTGATCTAGAACAAGAACAGGATGTTGTCATTGGAGTGACCTAGAACAAGAACAGGATGTTGTCATTGGAGTGACCTAGAACAAGAACAGGATGTTGTCATTGGAGTGACCTAGAACAAGAACCGGATGTTGTCATTTGAATGATCTAGAACCAGAACAGGATGTTGTTATTAGAGTGACCTAGAACCAGAACAGGATGTTGTCATTGGAGTGACCTAGAACCAGAACAGGATGTTGTCATTGGAGTGACCTAGAACAAGAACAGGATGTTGTCATTGGAGTGACCTAGAACCAGAACAGGATGTTGTCATTGGAGTGACCTAGAACAAGAACAGGGTGATTATCCCTGTGTAGGTTCCAGCACCCTTTTGGTGGTGGGGGAGATGGACCCACTGCTCCCTAACATGCGTATCATAGGTGGTGACTAATTAGTGGTGTTACCTTTGAAGTCAAGAGTGTATCTGCCTCACATGCAAGGAACCAACAGTCTGCATATAAAGAAGACAGAACTATAAAATGGATGTGCACGCATAACTCAAGTTCTGGAATGTGACCAAAGTCCAGAAGTTGACAAAAAAGCAGAAGTTTCCACTGGAGTTTATAGCTGGTGAATCCAAGAAGAAGAAAAATAATTTATTATGAGATGGGTGATCAGCTTCGTTTTCACTGCTTAAGTCCTGGTAAGTAAATAGTACTCATTATTGTGATTATCGTAAGCTTTATCTGATGGTGTTGGTAAAGAAATAAATGAAGACTAAAATATATATATATATATATATATATATATATATATATATATATATAGATATATATATATATATATATATATATATATATATATATATATATATATATATATATATATATATATATATATATATATATATATATATATCTATATATATATATATATATATATATATATATAGAGAGAGAGAGAGAGAGAGAGAGAGAGAGAGAGAGAGAGAGAGAAGGCAGCTAGAGGTGAAATTAGAGAGACGGGGAGGATATGCGGGCGAGCAACGAATGGGACGAGACGACTTGGCGTAAGTTGGTTGGGGTGGCTTGCCTCCATTGGAAAATAAAGGCCAAAAGAAGTAAGTGAAGTCTCTAAATAGAAAGATTCCTATTCTTAGTATTCTGTGTTAATTAAGTGTTGATGCTGATTTGGACCTTTCTTTATGTCCAGATGATAGTGTTATATTGTGCTATGAGGAGCCATGGGACTCACAGTTTATGGAGACGGCAAGTGTGACTAGCAAGACCTGCCAGCATTAAAAAAAAGTCTTCCAAGTTATTGTATGGGATATCAGGACCTTTGTTGTCAATATTTGTGTCCTCCATAGCACAAACTCTTGGCAGTATTGTAGAGACCATAGGTAGCCTATGCATCATGATCCCTTTCTCGACCTGCCTTGTTTACTCCAGAGGAAAGGTAACACCAATACGTTTGGAACCAAGCAGGCTGCAGAAGCTGCTGGATCAGAAGATATTTAGAATGAAATGGGAGATAAGGATTGTGGAAGGCCAGAACGTTCAAGAGGAATCCCATGACAGGTTTTGGTTGGAGAGAGAAGCCAGATGTGCCTGGCTGTATTGCACACATAGTATCAAAAAACACTGTGCGGTAATTGACTGTGAGCCCTAGATTATGTATAAAAGGGAGAACAAGATCATGAAGATGATGACAAATTTGTTACTTGTAAAAGTTTTTTTCTCTCTCATATTTGTTTCTGTTACAGGAAATTCTTCGCAAAACAGAAATGTTGGAAAAGCTACAGGTAAGTTGAGTACTCTTATGTTAACTCTTTCACCGCCAGGAGACAGAGTAAATCATCATTGTGGTCATCTAGCACAACCCCCCCCCGTCCATATATGGCAAGACCTCACCCCCTCCCCCAAATATGGTAAGACACCTCCCCTCCTCAATCTGAAATGTGGCAAGAGATCCCACCCTAACCACCCACCCAAACTTAAAATACAATGTGATTAAAAAGAGCAGATAGATGTTCATACTGCTCATGAAATCAAAAACAGCCTTGGGTTTTTGTGTGTTTTGTTTTATAAACAATGTTACACATGTTTATAGTGAGAGAAAAAAACACTTAGTTTTACAGATTATTAGAATTACAATTGAGCTCAGTTTCAAAAGTGCTTGCCACTGGTTTTCAGAGCACTGATTTTGTTGTTAGATAGTTGATCATTCTCAACACACATTGAACAAGTCTCTAAGAACTTGGATCCTGTCTTCAATATCTTCCATAGCTTGCAGAGACTGATAGCACCAGTTCTGTGTTGGTTTACTATTCTTCTTTGGCTACTTGTATACTGCTCATGTCTGGCAACTCCACTTTTAATATAAAGTTCTTGTAGTCTTGTCAAGGTTGCCTATTCACTGTTGTCTCCTGAATCACCTACTCGTGCTTCCCCATGGGGAACATCAGCTGGCTCCACTCTTCCCTGATCCCCTCCCAGGTAGAAAACCTCTGGTCTGGCTGGTCCCTTGCAGAACATCACTGTCATCAGAGTGCCCTGGAAAGCCATTCAGTCCTGTGTCGACTTTCTCGCCTCGTAAGTTCATCACCGGCAAACAGGAAATGAAGAAGGGAAAGATGGCTCAGAGATGTTTGCAGAATGCCTCAATTTGGCAACCACAGCTCTCTGATGGACGGCAGACGGAAAGGGAAGACATGATGACATAATGAAATCTAGAGAAGGACAGCGTTGAATTAAGAATCATCATCATAGCGCTCGGGACACTCCCATAAGCACTCTGTCCCTGTCGTCAGCAGTAAGTGAAGAGTTCCGGTTTCAGTGGCACCTGTAACTGATTGAATATCTGATCGCCTTTCCCTTTCCCCTGATCCTGGCAGTGCCATTGTCCTCAGACTGTAATGATCTCTCTGTGCCTCCTCATTGTTCACCCACTCCCAAAGTTCCCTTGCAACATCTAGTTGGCATACATCGATTCATAGAGAAGGACAGTAGAAAGGGAAAGGAAGGAATGTAAAATGAACCTGGGATACCATAGGCAGACAAGCAGCAGACGGGCAGCAGCAGAAGTCACTTGTAAATGCCTTATGTGTGTTAACAATGATTATAAGAGGATATATTTAGAGCTTTAATGCTGAGGTAAAGGCGACATTGACAAAACAGGAGAACTGCGTAACTAGAATGTCTTTGCATTGGAACCCACAGGGTTCCTTTGCCACTATATGTAGCTCACCCCATGTCCTCCTCTTTTTAACTTCACTCTTTTTCACTCTAGTTCAGTCTGCATGTGTATTTTGATCTGTCTTTATTCCTTTAACTCTGTGGTCAAAAGGAAAGAGATTCTAATTTTTTATTGTTATCAGGCTTTCTCAGAGTGTGTTCTACCCAACACTAGCATCTGTTCCTCATCTCTTGATTCCCATAAATTTGCTTTACCTTTCGCAAAGCTCTACATTAGTGATTCTGTCTACCATAAAATTTAATCTCTTCCATTCTGCACAAGCAGTAATTATTGAATGTTTGTAGTTTATAAGACTCCCCCACCTTTAGAAAAAATGTTGTTAAATTTTTTTTTCAATAGTTCACCTCCATACATTAGTACTGAGCCCACCCTGATCTTAGAAGAAACAAAAAAAACAGACCGACTGCCCCTGTATTAAACACGTTGTAAAGATAGATTAGTGGTGTTCCATTTGAAGTCGGAATGCATCTGCCTGAGAGGCTAAACCAACAGTTTGCTTACAAATAAGCCAGATGTGTAAAACAGATGTGCACTCGAAACTAAAGTCCTGGAAGAAGACTAAAGTCTCTGAGTCAACATATAGTCAAAACTTTTACAATTTGCAGTTTACAATTGGAAGTCACAAGGAAGAAGAAGAAGAAGAAGACATTAGAATGAAATTGATTTAAGTTTAATTATCAACAAGAACTGTTGTATAATGTAGAACTGTTCTCATGTCTTGTCCAGAAAATGAAAGTTGTCCAGTCATCCAAAGATATTGATACAGTGCTCAAGGTTGATGATAAAACAAGTGACAGGACCAGTTTAAGCAGAGTAAGCATGTGTGTATGTCCTTACTTGTGCTGTATACAAGAATAGTTCAGAAATGAGTTAACAGATCTGTCCAAGCGAGGGATCGTGCTGCATGAGCCAACAACTAAAACACAAGAAAAGAAAACAACGTAAATATAGTTAACATTACCACAGTAAACTATAACACATTATAGACATGATCAGTATTGCTACAGTAAACTATAACACATAATAGACATGATCAGTATTGCTACAGTAAACTATAACACAATATAGACATGATCAGTATTGCTACAGTAAACTATAACACATAATAGACATGATCAGTATTGCTACAGTAAACTATAACACATTATAGACATGATCAGTATTGCTACAGTAAACTATAACACATTATAGACATGATCAGTATTGCTACACTAAACTATAACACATTATAGACATGATCAGTATTGCTACAGTAAACTATAACACATTATAGACATGATCTGTATTGCTACACTAAACTATAACACATTATAGACATGATCAGTATTGCTACAGTAAACTATAACACATTATAGACATGATCTGTATTGCTACAGTAAACTATAACACAATATAGACATGATCAGTATTGCTACAGTAAACTATAACATAACATAGACATGATCAGTATTGCTACAGTAAACTATAACACAATATAAATCGAATGAGTGTTGCTATGGTAAACTACAACACAATAAAGATATGTTTAGTATTGCTATAGTAAACTTTAACATAATCTGGTAATCTTAGTTTCAGCATCATAGCAAACAGGTCACCCCATAGTCGCTCTGCTCCTGTGCTAACGAAAAATACACAGATATTTATCACAGTCCCTTGTGGAAAGATTGACAGACTGCTGTCTCAGCATATGCACTCGCATACATACGCATTAAAAGCATACAGTAACCATCCGAAGTGCTAACACAAACAGTCTGACATAAGAAATGCAGTTCATCATGGATGGTAGCAAAAGTCATCAAAAGATCAGCAGTTGCACACGCGAGCAATTTTAATCACAGACACCACAAATATTGCGACAACAGGCATCGTGCCATTTTCTGAATCTACACGTTGGTCACTGTAGAAAAACATTCCAAATGATATCCGCAGCTCAGTGTCACGCCATGCACCCAACTCAGAAGCTGGGCGATGAAACTATCCTTTCAGTCTACAAATGTAGCAAAAATGCACTGGCCACCTTCTGGCAGAAGAAAAAAAAATTTGCCACAGCTCACAACAGTGACCGCGCCTAGCGTCCATTTTGACTGGAAGTTCAACATAATATACATAGTAAACTATAACTCAATATAAATATGTTTGGTGTACCTACAGTAAACTACAACACAATATAGATATGATTGGTTTTGCTACAGTAAACTACAACACAATATAGATATGATTGATGTTTCTACAGTAAACTAGAACATAATATAGATATGATAGGTGTTGCTACAGTAAACTAGAACATAATATATATGATAGGTGTTGCTACAGTAAACTAGAACATAATATATATGATAGGTGTTGCTACAGTAAACTAAAACACAATATAGATGTTGTCAGCGTTACTACAGTAAACTAGATCATAATATAAAAATGACCAAATTGCTACAATAAATGAAAGTACAGTACAGATATAAATAATTTGTGATATTTTCCACCCACAGAGAGCAAAAGCTAAATCTCCATCCCCTCCCCCTTCTCCCAAACAAAACAAGTCCAGATCGTCAAGTTCACAAAACAATGTGCCGGCGAAGAAAAGTCTAAGAAGTCCCAGTCCGCCACCTAGACCTTCCCCTAGGCAGGCCGCCTCCAAGCCACCACCAGCATCATCACGCGCTGCTGCCAAATCTGCCAGAAGCCCAAGCCCCCCTCCTAGACGTGCAGCAGCAGCAGCAGCAGTCAAAGCTAAAGTATGTATTGTGTAGTTGTGCTGTTTTATTTGTTGTCAAAGACTTTGGTTGAAAATATCCAGTTGTAAATTTTCCATTGTCTTTGTTGAGCTTTATAGTTTTTATGGTCCTGTTGTTTTATTTGTTTCTAAAGACTTTGGTTGAAATTTCCAGTTGTATCTTTTCCATTATCTTTGTTGCGCTTTATAGTTTGTATTATCTTGCTTTTTTATCTGTTGATAAAAACTTTGATTAAAAAGTCCCATTACTGTTGTTTTATTTGTTGCTAAAGACTTTGGTTGAAATTTCCAGTTGTATCTTTTCCATTATCTTTGTTGCGCTTTATAGTTTGTGTTATCTTGCTTTTTTATTTGTTGATAAAAACTTTGATTAAAAAGTCCCATTACTGTTGTTTTATTTGTTGCTAAAGACTTTGGTTGAAATTTCCAGTTGTATCTTTTCCATTATCTTTGTTGCGCTTTATAGTTTGTGTTATCTTGCTTTTTTATTTGTTGATAAAAACTTTGATTAAAAAGTCCCATTACTGTTGTTTAATTTGTTGCTAAAGACTTTGGTTGAAATTTCCAGTTGTATCTTTTCCATTATCTTTGTTGCGCTTTATAGTTTGTGTTATCTTGCTTTTTTATTTGTTGATAAAAACTTTGATTAAAAAGTCCCATTACTGATGTTTTATTTGTTGCTAAAAACTGATTGAAATTTCCAATTGTATCTTTTCCATTATCTTTGTTGCGCTTTATAGTTTGTGTTATCTTGCTTTTTTATTTGTTGATAAAAACTTTGATTAAAAAGTCCCATTACTTTTTTTGTTGCTAAAGAATTTGGTTGAAAAGTCTAGTTGTATTATTTCCATTACCTTTTTGTTGCTAAAGACCTTGGTTGAAATGTCCAGTTGAATTGTTCTCATTAACTTTGTTTAGCTTCATAGTTTTTAGGGTGTTAATTTTTTCATATACTTAAATATCTGGTAATGTTTTTTAAATTTCTATCTCTTTCCATGTGCCTTCTTGTTCATTATATGTTAGATTCCATTTGCTTTTATTTCTTGAAAAAGACATTGGTCAAAATGATTTGTTTTTCTATAAAAACTTTGGTCAAAATGATTTATTTCTTGATAAAGACTGGTCAAAATGATTTATTTTTCTATAAAGACATTGGTCAAAATGATTTATTTTTCTATAAAGACTTTGGTCAAAATGATTTATTTCTCGATAAAGACTTTGGTCAAAACGATTTTTTTCTTGATAAAGACTCTGGTTGAACTGTTGAGTTAAGAGCCGACATCAAAGGACATGTGATATTCCGACAAAAGCACTCTGTTCTTATCTTCAGCAGCCAAGGAAGAGTTCCAGTGCTGACAGTACCAGTGACAGTCTAATTATATGACTGTCTTGCATTTCCTCCAAGTGTTGGCTGTCAGCTAGACATGGTCACATTCTGTTGAATCATTATATCCGCACTGTAATGATGTCTTTGCGATTCCACGTTGGCTGCTTACCGTAAAAGGCCTTGACCTTGTGTAGATTTTAAATAATGCGGATACAAACAATACATTGCACAATTTATTGCCAGGCATATTTCGCTGTATCTCATCAGGTGCGTTACTACAGAGTTACATCAACATAAAATAAGGCACAAAACTGAATAAATTCAGCTGAAATGTGAATAGTTTCTTCGATACATTGTTTCATGGTCGCCGGAAGCTCACCGTAGTCACTGACTACCAGGGTAACTTCAAATGTACGATAAATTCCGTCTGCTTACAAAGGAGGGGGTTGTTGATTTTTATTGCTATGGCTTCTGCGATTCTCAAAAGTCTCCTGTTCGGAGTGTGGTAAACCACACGGAAAGCAGTGTCTGTGTCAATTATGTGTCCGGAATTAAGTAGATGCCGTCCTATGGGCCTATGGAAGAAGAGGGTTCTTTCCTCTTGACTGGTCTCGACACCATAGAAGAATCACTCAGCTGTGTATGTAGCCATTTGGGTATGTGCTCTGCCACTCTATTTCCAAGCTGTCTGTCCGTTCGACCGATGTAAGTCAACTGGCACTTACATGTGTAGATTGTCTAGATTCCTAATTGTGTGGGGAAGGAGGATAGACCCACTGTCCTTAAGGAGCATGTTGTAAAAGTCTACCAATTAAGGGTGTTTCCTTTAAAGTCGGAGTGCTTCGGCCTGAGAGGCAAGCAACCAACAGTCTGCATGCATATAACGAAGACCTGTAAAATGGAAGTGCACACAAAACTGAAGTTCTGGGACAAAATCAAAGCCCAGAAGTGGACAAACAACCGGAACTTTCTGCTGGAGTTTTCAGCCGGTGAATGCAAAGAAGAAGATTGTCTGCACCAATTCACCAGCTAAGACTATCAGTTTCTTTCCCAAAACACCTGCATATCTGGAAAAAAAAAACAAGATCAAAACGATGCGAACTTCTGGAGACATCTGAAGCAATGCTTGCCACTCTGCCTGCCCAGAGCTTGACTTTCTCCAGCTTTCTCACTGCATGCTCAAGATATAGTCAGAATGTCAGTGTGTATCTTTCTCCTTCCCCTTGTTGAACATTCTAGTCCTTGTTTGTATTATTTTGATTTCTTTATTTAGCAGGCTGAGTCAAAGGCAGCACCAAAAGCAGAACCTAGAAAACGAATTCAGAAGCCAGCTGAGTCGTCTTCGGAAGCTGAAGAGGAGGAACAAGAAGAGGAGGAGGAAGAGCAGGAGGAAGAGGAAGTAGAAGAAGCCAAAGGAAGAAGAGGGAGGAGCCAAAACAACGCTGACCAGTCAGAGGCCAAGAAGGATGCAAAGAAAGCAAAACTAAGAGAGCCGGTATGTTACAGATGTTTCCTGCTCTAGCAGAAATTTTTTTTGTTTACTCTTACTGGAAGTTTCTGTGGCAAAATGATTAACTCATTTGCCTTATGCTCCTGACTTTTTCAGTACCAGATGACTTATAATGCAGGGGAAGGTGGGGGGGGGGGGCTGCATGATCTAGAGGCATGGTGTCCGCCTCGAGTGCTATAGATGCTGGTATCACCTCCTGGTAAGGGCTGGGATCTTTTCACGTGGACTTGGATTTATAGTAATTTCCCCTGGTCTCTGAGTAGTGAGATCAGATGCCCTTGTGCATTGTTGCGCACGTAAAAATCCCTTGGCAGTTGGAAAAAGAAAAAAGTAGCCTAACGGCGCTGCCCGGGCAAAATTTTGAGTTTAAAATCTATCCAAAGTATTTCAGGAACCTTGCCGGTGCTACAAATCCTGTGCGCTGTGCTGAGCTTCTTCAGACTTAGACTTGAGTTAGAAGAAGAACGGAGCACTTGTGGGTTACTACTTGTGTGTCATTATGGTGATCCGTTGTTCAAAACCTTAAACCTAAAACCTCATAATGCAGAATGTTGGATGCACTTTCATTTTTGTATGTTTCCATGAATATACATTAAAAAAAAATAATATACATACAAGAGAGAGTCCAAAGTTTTGAATACTACCTTTAAAGCTCATTTGCATAACCAACCACTTGAGTATCACAGCTGCGGTGGAAGTTGTGCAAGAGATGCTTCTTTGCGTGTGGGATGAATTCGGCTACCACTTAATTATTTGTCGAGCAGCAGATGGCAGCCATATTAGACATCTTTAACCTCTATTGAAAGTTTGAAAATTGTAGTTCTTTCTCTTGTATGTCAATTATTAATCATCATCATCTTGTAGCAGGTCTTTTGCAGAACATCGCTCTCATCACGGTCTGCATGAAAGAAACTCAGTCTCTCGCCAGCTCTCTCACCTCAAGTACTTTCATACTCAAGGAGTCACTTATATCCTGTGCCCATCTTTGTGTCGGTCGGCCCCTGCCCCTCCTTCCTGGTACCATGCCTTCTGCTATATTTTTTCAAATCTGTTGTGGCACTTGATATGACCAAAATATTTCAGCTTTCGAGATGGATGCTGTTTATTAGCCAATCTTCCTTGATGTTCAGATCTTTCAAGATGTCAGTATTTCTCTTCTTTGTCCAAGATATTCTGAAAATTTTTCTATAGCGTTTCAGCTCAAAAGCCCCTATTCTCTTTCTTAAGGATTGGGAGATAGTCCACGATTCACATCCATATGTTGCTACAGGGAAGATGCAAAGGATTGGGAGATAGTCCACGATTCACATCCGTATGTTGCTACAGGGAAGATGCATGCTCTCAAAATTCTAATTTTGATCTCCTCGCTGGTGCCTAACCAAAGACTTTTAAGGCTGTTTAATCTTAGAATTGCTATGGCCAGCCTCCTTTTAATTTCTGTCAGTCTCCATTGCTATCAATTATAAAGCCTAGATATTTAAAGTTTGTGACATTTTCAATTTCTTCCATGATGAGTTTCTTGGGATAGTAATGTGGTAGTTTCCAGTGGCTTTCCACATCCATATGACTTTAGACTATTATTAATATGTACTGTATATTCAAGGAAATATACATGAAGGAAAGCGTATCCATAATTTTAAATAGCCCAATAAGTTCATTGACTACTCTTTGTATGTACACATTTCTCTGTACTTCAAAGTACGTTCTTCATACTTTTAAGCCCTATAAAGATATTTTAAAAATGCCTCTTTTCACAATTTTGTTAAAAATGAAACAATCCCTGTAATTATCTCACACTCTACTCTAAGAAATGGGAGTCCCCGTGGCCGAGCGGCTAGACTCTCGCAGCGGATCGGAAGGTCATGGGTTCGCTCCCTGGTGGAGCCGGACTATTTTTAAAAAATGACCATTTGCTCCCAGGTCGACTAAGCCTTGAATGGCTCCCCGGGGCAGTCCCGGGAAGTAAAGGTGTCCGCGTGATGCTGACCACATCACCCATCTTATGCCGATTGGTCTATAAAAATATAGGTCTAGCCCTAGATGTCCTATATCCCTAAAGGCGTAGAAAAGGGTCCTTTACTTCTTTTTTTCCCCCCCAAACTTATTTTCTAAGAAACTAGAGGAGATAGAGAAGAAATAAGAAATTTGCAGTCTTACAGTTTTGGGACAAAGGAGTTATAGATAGTAACAGTTGTGAATTAGAATAGGTTAGAATATCAGAAAAATGAGACAGAAAAGGGAGAGAAATGATGTTGGTCTTCTGAAGATTATGCTTCCTTTGACAGTTTGACTAGAATTATGGTTGCCTGTGACAGTAGGATTTTATGTTTCTCGTTGACAGTTTGACTAGAATTATGGTTGCCTGTGACATTAGGATATTATGTTTCTCTTTGACAGTTTGACTAGAATTATGGTTGCCTGTGACAGTAGGATATTATGTTTCTCGTTGACAGTTTGACTAGAATTATGGTTGCCTGTGACAGTAGGATTTTATGTTTCTCGTTGACAGTTTGACTAGAATTATGGTTGCCTGTGACAGTAGGATTTTATGTTTCTCTTTGACAGTTTGACTAGAATTATGGTTGCCTCTGACAGTAGGATATTATATTTCTCTTTAACAGTTTGACTAGAATTATGGTTGCCTCTGACAGTAGGATATTATGTTTCTCGTTGACAATTTGACTAGAATTATGGTTGCCTCTGACAGTAGGATATTATGTTTCTCGTTGACAATTTGACTAGAATTATGGTTGCCTCTGACAGTAGGATATTATGTTTCTCGTTGACAGTTTGACTAGAATTATGGTTGCCTACGACAGTAGGATATTATGTTTCTCGTTGACAGTTTGACTAGAATTATGGTTGCCTGTGACAGTAGGATATTATGTTTCTCGTTAACAGTTTGACTAGAATTATGGTTGCCTGTGACAGTAGGATTTTATGTTTCTCTTTGACAGTTTGACTAGAATTATGGTTGCCTCTGACAGTAGGATATTATATTTCTCTTTAACAGTTTGACTAGAATTATGGTTGCCTCTGACAGTAGGATATTATGTTTCTCGTTGACAATTTGACAAGAATTATGGTTGCCTCTGACAGTAGGATATTATGTTTCTCGTTGACAATTTGACTAGAATTATGGTTGCCTCTGACAGTAGGATATTATGTTTCTCGTTGACAGTTTGACTAGAATTATGGTTGCCTCTGACAGTAGGATATTATGTTTCTTGTTGACAGTTTGACTAGAATTATGGTTGCCTCTGACAGTAGGATATTATGTTTCTCGTTGACAGTTTGACTAGAATTATGGTTTCCTGTGACAGTAGGATATTATGTTTCTCGCTGACAGTTTGACTAGAATTATGGTTGCCTCTGACAGTAGGATATTATGTTTCTCGTTGACAGTTTGACTATAATTATGGTTGCCTCTGACAGTAGGATATTATGTTTCTCGTTGACAGTTTGACTAGAATTATGGTTGCCTCTGACAGTAGGATATTATGTTTCTCGTTGACAGTTTGACTAGAATCATGGTTGCCTCTGACAGTAGGATATTATGTTTCTCTTTGACAGTTTGACTAGAATTATGGTTGCCTCTGACAGTAGGATATTATGTTTCTCGTTGACAGTTTGACTAGAATTATGGTTGCCTCTGACAGTAGGATATTATGTTTCTCGTTGACAGTTTGACTAGAATTATGGTTGCCTGTGACAGTAGGATATTATGTTTCTCGTTGACAGTTTGACTAGAATTATGGTTGCCTATGACAGTAGGATATTATGTTTCTCTTTAACAGTTTGACTAGAATTATGGTTGCCTGTGACAGTAGGCTATTATATTTTTCTTTGACAGTTTGACTAGAATTATGGTTGCCTCTGACAGTAGGATATTATGTTTCTCGTTGACAGTTTGACTAGACTTATGGTTGCCTCTGACAGTAAGATATTATATTTGTTGACAGTTTGACTAGAATTATGGTTGCCTATGACAGTAGGATATTATATTTCTTGTTGACAGTTTGACTAGAATTATGGTTGCCTCTGACAGTAGGATATTATGTTTTTTGTTGACAGTTTGACTAGAATTATGGTTGCCTCTGACAGTAGGATATTATGTTTCTCGTTGACAGTTTGACTAGAATCATGGTTGCCTCTGACAGTAGGATATTATGTTTCTCTTTGACAGTTTGACTAGAATTATGGTTGCCTCTGACAGTAGGATATTATGTTTCTTGTTGACAGTTTGACTAGAATTATGGTTGCCTCTGACAGTAGGATATTATGTTTCTCGTTGACAGTTTGACTAGAATTATGGTTTCCTGTGACAGTAGGATATTATGTTTCTCGCTGACAGTTTGACTAGAATTATGGTTGCCTCTGACAGTAGGATATTATGTTTCTCGTTGACAGTTTGACTATAATTATGGTTGCCTCTGACAGTAGGATATTATGTTTCTCGTTGACAGTTTGACTAGAATTATGGTTGCCTCTGACAGTAGGATATTATGTTTCTCGTTGACAGTTTGACTAGAATCATGGTTGCCTCTGACAGTAGGATATTATGTTTCTCTTTGACAGTTTGACTAGAATTATGGTTGCCTCTGACAGTAGGATATTATGTTTCTCGTTGACAGTTTGACTAGAATTATGGTTGCCTCTGACAGTAGGATATTATGTTTCTCGTTGACAGTTTGACTAGAATTATGGTTGCCTGTGACAGTAGGATATTATGTTTCTCGTTGACAGTTTGACTAGAATTATGGTTGCCTATGACAGTAGGATATTATGTTTCTCTTTAACAGTTTGACTAGAATTATGGTTGCCTGTGACAGTAGGCTATTATATTTTTCTTTGACAGTTTGACTAGAATTATGGTTGCCTCTGACAGTAGGATATTATGTTTCTCGTTGACAGTTTGACTAGACTTATGGTTGCCTCTGACAGTAAGATATTATATTTGTTGACAGTTTGACTAGAATTATGGTTGCCTATGACAGTAGGATATTATATTTCTTGTTGACAGTTTGACTAGAATTATGGTTGCCTATGACAGTAGGATATTATGTTTTTTGTTGACAGTTTGACTAGAATTATGGTTGCCTACGACAGTAGGATATTATGTTTCTCGTTGACAGTTTGACTAGAATTATGGCTGCCTATGACAGTAGGATATTATATTTCTTGTTGACAGTAGAATCTTCTTCTGCTCCTTTGTTCACCAGCTGTAAGCTGAAAGTCCTGGTTGTTTGTCCATTTAGACTTTTTGCCAGGGCCGGAGTTTTCCGTCTACATCCGTTTTATTGGCCAATTTGTGGTTGTTTCTTGCTGCTTGGGAGATGCACTTTGATTGTGAAGGAACCTCCTGATTAGTCATCTCTCATAGCATGCATTTTTTGGACAGGTGGCTAGGCAATGGGTCTGTTCTTGTTTTAATCACAGTGGAGCCCAGGAAACCACATGGAGATGTCAGTAGAATAAAGGCTATCATTTCCTTTAAGAATCTGATAAATTTAGCGATTTCTTTTGACAGTTTTAGAGACTATGGTTCCCTTTGACAGTCTGTTGTACATTACTTCTCACTTTAAAAATCTCATCAAGAAAATTACTTTCCTAATTTAAAGTGTGTATTTATGGACAGACAATTGAGTATCCTGAGATCCCAGTGAAGAAGCGGAGGATATCACACCTGAATGCAGAGGTTCCTGAGAAACCAGAAGCAAAGTCAACAGAGAGTCAAGCTGGCACTGATGCTTCAGCATCTGATGGTGATCAGGCAGTACAGTCACGAGCCACACGTTCCCGCGGCAAAGGAAGCAATCTCAAAAATGATGTAAGGCAACATGTTGTTAAGTGCTTTCTGATTAAGGTAATTTGATTTGATTTAAGAACCGAAATCACAGCACTCGGGGCATTCCCATAAGCACTCCGTCCCCATCTTCCAGTGAAGATTTCCGATACTAATGGTGCCAGTAGCATTCTGATTAAACGTCCGTCTTGCCTTTCCTCTGAGCCTCGAGCACCTGCCAGAACTTCTCATCCCCCCCCCCCCCCCCCCACGCATCAATCTTACCAGACTGGGGTGATCCATCTGCTCTTCTGAACTGTACACGGTTAAGGTAATTAAGGGGGTTAAAGGTAGTTCCATCCCCTTGTGGGTTGGGGTTGGGGGGGGGGGGGGGGGGAAAGAGATAGACCCAGTGTTTGTTAACTAGCAAATCATAAAATGCAAGGGGTCAGGTCTTGATCAGATATGACTGAGCTGCCTATAACAGTAGCCGGTACCACATGTCTTCTGTTAACGCTGAATGTTTAGTGGCGTTTACCAAACCTGAATCCCATATAGTGCCAACGGCTTCTGGCAGAGCAACGCATTGGGGAGCACTTATCCTAGGAGGAGAAAATGCAACCTGAGAACTTAATAATCCCTACTTTGCTTGGAGTTGAACTTGGACCACTGCATTGGTGGACAAGAGTACTAATTACCATGCCACCATAATTCCAGTAGATAGAAAATTATACTTGGCAGACAAGAGCATTAGCTAACAGAAAATGCAACCTGAGAACTTTATAATCCCTACTTTGCTTGGAGTTGAACTTGGACCACTGCATTGGTGGACAAGAGTACTAATTACCATGCCACCGTAATTCCAGTAGATAGGAAATTATACTTGGCAGACAAGAGCACTAGCTAACAGAAAATGCAACCTGAGAACCTAATAATCCCTACTTTGCTTGGAGTTGAACTTGGACCACTGCATTGGTGGACAAGAGTACTAATTACCATGCCACCATAATTCCAGTAGATAGAAAATTATACTTGGCAGACAAGAGCACTAGCTAACAGAAAATGCAACCTGAGAACTTTATAATCCCTACTTTGCTTGGAGTTGAACTTGGACCACTGCATTGGTGGACAAGAGTACTAATTACCATGCCACCGTAATTCCAGTAGATTGGAAATTATACTTGGCAGACAAGAGCATTAGCTAACAGAAAATGCAACCTGAGAACCTAATAATCCCTACTTTGCTTGGAGTTGAACTTGGACCACTGCATTGGTGGACAAGAGTACTAATTACCATGCCACCGTAATTCCAGTAGATAGGAAATTATACTTGGCAGACAAGAGCATTAGCTAACAGAAAATGCAATCTGAGAACCTAATAATCCCTACTTTGCTTGGAGTTGAACTTGGACCACTGCATTGGTGGACAAGAGTACTAATTACCATGCCACCGTAATTCCAGTAGATAGGAAATTATACTTGGCAGACAAGAGCACTAGCTACCATGCCACAATAACTCTGACTGAAAGGAAAGTTTTTGAAAGTACATCTTCATATGAGTAAAGATTTGACAACATAGCAAATCAATAATTAGTTGCCTTTTATGACATGCTTGTTAAGGGGTAGTTTGTGTGTGTGTGTGTCTTTTCTTCCTCCAAACTGGGTTTCTGGAACCCCCTTGGGAAAGATGAGTCAGTAAGAGTTAGATATCCTTCATTGTGGAAATTGCACCTGATTGATTAGCTGTCAGTGTCTGATGCCCAGACTTCATTGGCCAAGGCTCGCCTAACCCAGTAGCCCCGAGAAAAGCTAAATCAAGTCGCTTCCTGTTGTGACTCAGCCCTGTAAATGCCAATATATGGTAATGTCTGCAAAGTAGGTGCGGGTGTCCGTATGAGCCCAACAGCTTTTTGAAAGCCATGTTGATCTCAGTTTTTCCTTTAGCCTCAGTAGTAGAGGTGACGGGGTCATGAGTCAACCGATACATATTGTTCTTCATGCCTCAGGGAATGCATTCCATGTAATGCCTCACTTTGTTTGTGTTGGTTGATTACCTTTAGATAAATATCTTTATATATAAAACACTTTTTATTAAAATAATTTAAATGTAGATAACTAAAGGTGAAAAATAAATAAATTTGTGACCCTTTTAATTTGGTTGTCCGAACTTTCTATGGCTTTCTGACCCAATTTGTTTTCATTCACGGAATAAAACGGTTAAAGATGAAGACTTCTTGGGCCATGATTTACCTAAAGGTGAGGACAGTTAATCTGTGGCAGAAATTATGTTATGGGGTCTGGCGTCCAGACTTCTTGGGCCATGATTCACCTAAAGGTGAGGACAGTTAATCTGTGGCAGAAATCGGGTAATGGGGTCTGGCGTCCAGACTTCTTGGGCCATGATTCACTGAAAGGTGAGGACAGTTAATCTGTGGCAGAAATTGAGTAATAGGGTCTAGCACCCAGACTTCTTGGGCCAGGACTCACCTAAAGGTGAGGACAGTCTGCTGCAGTGTTGAACCAGATGCACCAAGAAGGTAACTAAATCCCCAATCTCAAACCCTTTGAGCCTGGTTTGAATTAAAGATGTAGCACTTCGCTGTTAGTCGGTATTGGAGTTTAATCCGGGATCTCTGCGGTGAATAGGTTAACTCCTTTAGTACCAGAGGACATTTACATAAGATATGTATGAACCTATGATGCATTTTATGTTGCTGAAAGAGTTAAGGCATTTACCTTGTGGTATGAAAGGTCATAGGTTCATGTCATGGGTGTGTCGTTCTCGTCACGAGTGCAGTTTGGCTGAGATTCCTAGGGGTCCTTGCTGAAGTTAGGGTGTTTATGCTTCCTATGATACTCTCGGCACGTAGCTAGTTGTTCTGCCAAAAGACACCCGAGCCATATTTTTTAACAGGATGCAACAAAGTTCATCCTGTCCACTTTAGCTTTTAAACTTGTTTCCCCTTTATATTAAAACATTTGTTACCATGCTGTTGAATTCTCCTGTTTGCCATTCCTCAGGACATGGTAGATGAAAACGAGGCCCAACCAACAGAGACACCAGTCTCTAAAGACGCATCAGAAGAAGGTATTTTCCCCCTTCTTTATTTATTATTCCTTTTTGTTGTTGTTAGAACATTTCACATATCTTGGTAGTGTGGTGTCCCTACTGGGAGGGACAGAGGAAGACATACAGTCACACCTGAACAAAGCTAGAGCTGCTTTTGGAAGGATGAGGCAAATCTGGAAATCCAACAATTACTGCAGAGAAACGAAACTCCGACTCTACAAGAGCATCATTTTGCCAGTTCTTCTTTATGGAGCTGAATGCTGGAGAATGACCAAAAGGGATGCACACAAGCTATCCACCTTCCACCACACATGTCTACGTAGAATTATCAAAATTTCCTGGCCAGATACAATCTCAAACACTAAACTACTTCAAGTCACAAACCAAGAAACTCTGGACAGTATGCTAACCAAGAGAAGATGGAAATGGCTTGGCCACGACATGAGAATAAATCCTGATATACCTGCCAAAACAGAGGGAAAGAGAAAGAAGGGGCGCCCAAAAACAACATGGAGACGAACGATGGAGAGTGACCTGTGTGCGGCATCTTTGACATGGAAAACTGAACTGAAGATTGCACAGCACTGAAAAGCATGGAAAGTCCTCATGTGCCACTAGGCATAAAGAGAAGTGATGATTGATTTGTTGTTGTTGGTTTCATATGTGTGTGTGTGTGCATGCACATGCTTGCAGGTAAATCTCTTCCTTTATATCTGCACCCATACATCTGAATCCTCCTTCTGTATCTCACTCCATCTCAGTCTCCTTTCTTTTTGTTTACTTCTTTCATCCTTTTTATTTCTCTTGTATATCTCATTTCCTTCATTCCTCTCAGCCTCCGTTCCTCTTTTTCAGTCTTCCTCTGTCTCTCCCTCCATCCCTCTTCTAACTCCTTCTTCTGCACTCCTTTCTCAATCTTCAGTCTTCCTCTTCTGTCTCTTCATCTCTCAGTATCTCTCCTCTGACATTGTCTCCCCTGTCCCAGAGATTTAACAAGAAAAATAATTATCTAAAAAAAATGTCTTCAATATCTTCACACGTTTTGATGACACAAACTCTTTTTTCTTCTTCTTCTTAGATGGAGTTGGCAAACGAGTAGAAGCACAAGTCAACAGTAAATGGTGAGATATTTTCTCTTCTTGATTTGTAGTAAGGTTTTTTTTTTCTCATTCTTTTAAAATTGCAGTTGTACCTACTAATCTTGATTAGCACAGGTCAGATGTAGAGGACTATCTCTCCTTCTGTCACCTGTCACAGTCCCTGACGCCCCCCCCCCCCCCCCCCCACGATCATATATGACAGACCCGCATTCTGTCTTCTATCATCACGTATGACAGTCTGTCTGCCCTCTATAAATATGTATGGCCGCTCACTCTGCCCCCATCTCATCCTGCATGACAGTCCCTCATTCTGTCCCCTGTCATCATATATGATGGTCTCTCTGTCCTTCATCATCATGCATAACAGTCACTCGCTGTTTCCCCAAGATCATGCTTGTCCCTTGTCCTGTCTGCACTATCCTCTAAGATCATGCATGACACTTCCTTACACAAAAATGACCTTGGCTGCAAGGTCAAACCAGCCTTAAATAGGTACCAGGTGAAGTCCTGGGAAGTAAAGGAAGCCAGTGTGATGCTGACCACAACACCCACCGATTGCTGATAGTTCTATAAAACATAGGTCTAGCACTATATGTCCCAAATGCCGAAAGGCGTGGATGTTGCCTGTCGATTTTGGGTTTTCAACCTTGATTGTGCGAATGTAGTACAAGCCTGGGTGTCCGGTGACCTGAGTCAGTATTTTGACTCTGTGTTGACTTAAGACAGGAGATGTCAATGCGGCTTGAATCAGCTTTGTGATTCTGTGTTGACTTAGGGCCAGAGTGACCAGTGGAGAAGTGACCAGTGGGCTCCCGAGGTGTCAACTAGATGGGGGTAAATTGTCATACCTAGTTCGTGTTGAATGAGATGGGACACTAGAGGTATGCGGAAAATAAAGGGAGAATCGTGCATGACTGAGCGTCTTGAGTTGCACGAAGAGCTCACAGGGCACGCATGCGTATATACTAGGGTTGATTTCAGTTGAGCAGAGGACAAACTAGAGAACGTTCGAGAACACTCAAGAGGCCAGTCAAGGGACCAGTCGAGGAAAGAGAAGTCCAGTTGGCAGAGTTGAGCCAGGGTGAGCTCGGCGTTATCCATGATGAAAGCTTATCTTGGGTGATGATGCATGTGGCGGTCGTGGTCACTATTGAAACAAGACAGCAGTTCTATGAGGAAGACCCTCGTAGATGTCAGCAACAGCTGTGTGCTGAGAGGACTCAAAGTTTGGAGTTCTGCCGGTCATCATAGATTTCCCCGACCAGGCTGATGTGCTGTGTGCACATTATGGAGCTTAAGCATTGTGAAATTTCCAGTTAGCTGATGTGAAGTGTCTGCTAGGAGCATAGCAATGGAGGTCAAGCTGAGTAAGCTAGACGGAGCCTATTCATCCCTACTGCTATTCCTGACGTACGGGTAGCCAGCGACCTGGGCACTGAAGCTGTGAGCTCAAGAGATGTAGTGACAGCTAGTGTAGGCTGTCCGATGGAGCGCCGCTGAACTGTTTTGAGTGAGCGGAGTTTGTGACATTCCTTTCATGTTTGGCCAGTGTGAGACATGTGTATGATGCTTTACGTTTATTATTATCTGTGCGGGTGTGTGTACCTAAACATCCCTGTGAAATAAATGTCTATGCTTGTGGCGGCAAGCCGTCGTGTGAGTTTCCTGACAGTGTGCAGGTTGCAGTGGTCAAGTGAAGCTCATATCCTAGACAATCACTTGACCACATGTTCCATTGCTGCCAGTATTTAGTATCATCATCATCATCAACCGGCAGAGGCGCTCATGCTTCTGCACAGATCATGATCTCTGGTTGACTGGAACAGCTCTCTTGATGATATCCCTCCATTCTGTCGTTTCAGCCCATCCAGCATCATCTCTCTTTATCTGCCTCTACCCCCTTTTCCACTGATCTTTCCAGTTGTCACGATGTTCTATAGGGTCTCTATTCTCATTATGTGGCCAAAGAACAGTGTTTGTCTCTTTCTTAATGTTGTATTCAGCATACAACAGGGGAAAAGGGTCCTTTACTTTAATTTTTATAAAACATACAGATTTCTTTGTATTTTTTTTAGCAGTTTGTATACCTACCATTAAAAATCTCAATAACTATTTCACGCTTTGATTTGTGAGAATGTTGTCTCTAAATTCTTATTGATATGATGCTCAGGATTTTTTAATTTTTGTCCTGTTTTTAATCACTTTTTTGTTTTTTAAAGTAAAGCAGTGGTGCGTTTGGTTGGGGTGGGGTGGGGGGGGGGGGGGGGGGGGGTCCTTCTCATAAAGTCTCTGTCTCTCTTTTTCTTCTCTCTCTCTTTCTCTCTCTCTCTGTGCATGTGTGTGTCTCACTCTCTTTTTTCTCTCTCTCTGTGTCTCTCTCTCTTTCCTCTATCTCTCTCTCTCTCTCTTTGTGTCTCTCTCTCTCTCTCTCTCTTTGTCTCTTCTCTTTCCTCTCTCTCTCTCCCTCTGTCCCTCTCTCTCTCTCGTCTCTCTCTGCCTCCTTTGTGTGCTGTGTGTATTTTTGGATGTATATTCAAAAATATTCATTTGCCATCCATGATTTTATATTTTTATTTTACACTCATACTGTGAGGTTGAATATATGAACATATGATACATGATGTGTAAAATATAATTGCCGTGTGAAAGATGAGTTTTTGAAAGAGCCCAATGTAAGACAGGCTGCCTGCCAAATTTGTGAGGCTTTGAAAATAGAATTTATTCTATTGTTTCGTTTCAAGTGGGACCCCGCCTGAAAAAGGCTGAAAACCACTTTTTTTTACAAAGATCCTTGACTCATGATTTGTCTCCTGTCTGCCAGGTATCCAGCCACAGTGACCCAGGTCAACTCTGAAGGCAAGTGGAAAATCAAGTTTGACCATCATCCTAAGGACAAGTACGATAAGTGGTAAGTTCCAGCTCTTACACTTCCGTTTATCATCGCCAGTCATTGATCGAGTCAAGTAAATGTTTTGTCCCAGTTTTGCCAGTGTCACATCTGGCTTATGATTCATTCATTCGTCATCTTGTTGTGCCATTTGTGTCACATCTGGCTTATGATTCATTCATTCGTCATCTTGTTGTGCCATTTGTGTCACATCTGGCTTATGATTCATTCATTCGTCATCTTGTTGTGCCATTTGTGTCACATCTGGCTTATGATTCATTCATTCGTCATCTTGTTGTGCCATTTGTGTCACATCTGGCTTATGATTCATTCATTCGTCATCTTGTTGTGCCATTTGTGTCACATCTGGCTTATGATTCATTCATTCGTCATCTTGTTGTGCCATTTGTGTCACATCTGGCTTATGATTCATTCATTCGTCATCTTGTTGTGCCATTTGTGTCACATCTGGCTTATGATTCATTCATTCGTCATCTTGTTGTGCCATTTGTGTCACATCTGGCTTATGATTCATTCATTCGTCATCTTGTTGTGCCATTTCCGAGTCAATTTTGCCTCAAAACTCAAAAGCTGACTTAGAAACCAAGTGCCTGGCCCATGCCGTAATACGACTGAGCTGACAATCATTTTCCACTTCTGCTGTTAACCCTACCAGACCGCTGGCCCGGTTTACCAGGAATTTCTTAACCTGTCTCTATACCGCTGGCCCTAATTTTCGGCTTTTTGCGTAGTACGGAAAACTATGCGTCACGGACTAAAAATAACCACCTAATCCTCATCAATCCTCTTTGTTAGACATTGCAAATGTCTGCCCGCATGTGTTTGGATTATATTTGTGTTGTTTTACGTGGAAAAATTCTGAAAATTCACAATGAAACGAGCGGCTGATGAACGAAGTTCTACACTTTTCACAGTCCAACAGGTGATCGTTACTTTGGTTTGTTCAGACTTTGTGATATATATATATATATATATATATATATATATATATATATATATATATATATATATATATATATATATATATATATATATATATATATATATATATATATATATATATATATATATATATATATATATATATATATATATATATATACATACATTTTCTGTGATAATTTCATAAAGAATATGTTCTTGAAGTGACACTGTCAGTGAGAGCGCAAATGATGAGGAAAATCTTGAAAATTATAAATCTTGAAATAGATCGATAGTAGAAGGGGGTGTATCCATCAAACAGCAACATCTGGTGTTCACTTTATGAAACAATGTTGGTCCTGATGAGTGAATTCGCACACAAAGGTGGAATATTGGCGCTAGATAAAAGGAAGCCTATTTTCTACAATGTCTCTAAGTTTCCTCATATTCTAGCCACTCGTTTGCATGTAACTAATATTTTTGTATATCATGTTGGTTTTTTCACGGTAATGCCCAGGAGCTCAGGTTATAGGGATAGTTAGATTCAGGGCCCCAGGTCTGGTAGGGTAAAGTGTTGTGGGGAGGAACAATTTGCAATCCATTGCTTGATTGGCAGCACTGGCGACTGTCATTCTGTGTCAGTGTCGAAGCTCTTTAATGTCATCAGTCCATATTCTTTTAGGGCGGCCTCTTGCTTTCACTTCAGATCCTTTCATGTGTAGCGCCTGCACTGGTAGTTGTTCTGGCTGCATTCTTACTCAATGACCAAACCATTTCATCTTCTGTTTCTCAATGAATTTGCTGCATGATGTTGTTCCTACAGTCTGTCTGATAATGTCAATTCTAACTATCTTGGATGGTTAAGCTGGTGGCTCTTCTCAGGCATCTCTTTTCGCCGGTGTTAATTTTACGTAGGTTAACCTTTGATAATGTCTGGCACTGGTAGCACAGTATTGGTATGAATATGCTATTTATAATCTGTTTCTTGGCGCTCATACTTATTCCATTTTGATCAAAGAGCAGAATTTACAGCCGCTGAGCACTAAGAAGGAGACGTACAACAGAGTATAGGTTCTGTTATCAACACCTATAATTTATTCCCCATCATTGCTTTAAGAACATGTACAAAGGATAATAGGTTTTTTTTATATCCCTGTCCGTATATTGATCACCCGTAATCATTCCAAGGCCATGTACAGCAAAGGATAGGTTCTTGTAATATCCATATCCATATTGTATTATTAACCATGGTCACTCCAAGGTTATGTAAAACAGCATAGATTCTGTGTTTTTGACATTGACATATTCCTTTGATGAACCAACACTCACAGATGCCCATTGTTGTCATTATCCTTGTGCTGTTATATGTCTCATAGAGCTCTCCCTGTTTGGGTTCTAGGGCCAAATCCTGGAGGGGAACGGGAGGGGGTGGGGGGGGGGGAATAGACCCACTGACACCATCACTCCACCCCAAAATGCAGGCTACACATGGTGACTTGTTAAAGGTTTTTCTGAAATTTGATGTTTTAGGCCGTAAGGTGCAAATGTTGCAGCCTAGCTGTATATCACAACGCAACACGTAGCCACCCTTTTAATTTGAAAACAAGAAGACAGGACATACAATCTGTTTCTCCATTCTGTTGATCAGGAATGGGTAGAGATGATGCTGTATCAGATGTTTGGTAGTGGCCCACTGATTTAGCTCACAGATGGAGATACTTCCTGCCTACTTTGGATGCCAGTAGGTTCTGTGCTGGCATGAAGATACTCATGCAAGACTCCTGCCGCACGTCCTTATCATACACTATGGTTAGTGGCAGAATCGGCCTAAACCAAGTTACATGGAATCTCACAGTTGGTGGTCCCCACTGATGCAATGTCCAGATATTCCCTGGCCCTCGTCAGCCCACCCACTGTGCGTGGGTGATATACACGGAAAGCTCATTTGAAATACATCTTTTTTTTTCCTCACTATTCTTTGTGCTATTTTACCTTCCACGTTTTTTCCTTTTTTCTAATCCTTCCCATTTCCTTCTTAAATTTTCCTTCTCTTCATCATGTCTTTTCCCCACTCTTCATTCTCCTGCCTCCCATTTTTTTAATCTTTTTTTTTCTCCTTATCCTTCCCATTTCCTTGTTTCATTTTTTCCTACTATTCTTCATCCCTCTTCTCTTTCAATTTTTCCTACTCTTTGTCTTCTTTACCTGATTTTGTTTATCCTCTGATTGAACATACTGCTTCTTCTACTTCTTTCGTTCATTTGAAATAAATTATCTATATTTGTAGTGTTTTCTCTAGTATGAACTTCAATGTCTTTTTAATTCACTCAGCGTAAAGTTTGTTTTCCACCGTTTTCTCTCTTGGCCAGAAGTTTTGCCTGGAAATATATTTGGGACAGTCTTGGAGGATGTGATCTGTCAACTCAGGTGCCAGTCCACATGTGCGCATGGCTAATTCGCCAATTGTAATTTTTGTGTACACATGGCTGTGAAGTCGATTGTGACCTGTTCTGAGCGTAGAATAATGGCTTGCTCTGGTCTGTCCATATAATAGTAATGTCATGTGCCGGTTTTGATGGCTTTTTGATTGATTGGATTATTCTCTTCTTCAATTGATAAGAAAGGGGCTGGTACATCAGGTTGTTCTTCATTTGCATCTTCCTTAGCTAGTTTATCAGCTCTGTCATTTCCTGGAATGCCACAGTGGGACAGTATCCATTGCATACCTACCTTACACTGGTAACATAATCAACCCATACCAGGACACCCTCTCTCTCCACCCAGTCAGTTGCCACTTTCCCCTTTCTGCTAATATTTGTGTGTATTAACTCTTTTATCCTTTCTTATTAATATTATCAAAGAAGATGCTGTTCTTTTGTAATATCCTACCTAAGATGAAGTCACAGGACAGCATTTTAGAGGGTGGTAAGACTGGGTTTCCCGGCTTTCTGATGCTTTTAACAACCCCAAAACATCTAGAACTGGCCCTAACCCCAACCCACCTACGTCCCATGAGAGAGTGCAGCCTAGGTCCCACAACCAAATGCAGGCCATCTACCACCCCCTGAAATATTAGACTGTCCCGTGACCTGTGGATTTCCCTTGTTTGGGGTAGGATATTAAGAAAGCACAGAAGATACAAAGGAGAATGAAGAAGATGAGATACAAAAAAATGAAAGAGAAGGATGAAGAGGAAGAAAAAAGTTGAAAAGGATTTATAGGATGAAGAACAGAACGTGGAGGCAAAATCAGTTGAAGAACACGAAGAAAGAGAAAGAATAGGTGAAAGAGGTGAAGAATAAAAGTTTGTATGGGATGTGTACTTTCACCTGCATTTTTTTTTTCCAATTTGTACAGTAAAATAGTTAGGTCTATACATGGTATGATAGGAATATCGGTTGGTGTGCATATTGCTAACAACTTGCGATATGCTGATGATATAGTTTGGATCGCTCGAAAATGAAAAGCAACTGCAGGAAATGATGGGCATAATTGAAACAGGAGGTCAGAACAAGGGTCTTGGTTTGATCAGTAGAAAAACAAGACGGTTAAAAGGGAAGAGAGCCAGCGGGAGCACAAGAGAGAAGATGCTGGACAGTTTGACATCATGGTATGGAGGATCATCTGTGTCAGAATTAAAGGAAAGTACACGAGATGGAAGGTTGTGGATAAACATGACTACCAACGCCACATAGTATAGACTTTGAGAAGAAGAACAATCCTTATTTTAAAAAGTTAGTTGTGTAACCTTTACAGGACGTTGCAGAACCAACCCTCCCCCCCCCCCCTCTTTTTTACTGTTGTAGTTTTTGTAGGCAAATGTTACATTCAGTAGTTTGCCATTACCTGCTGAACAGTCAGCTTGTAGTACCACTGTCAAAACCAGTGCAGAACAAACCATCTGCCACTTTGATCGAACCCGGCACTACGAAGCTAGTCCACAGCGTCTAATCCACAGATGCTGACATCCAGACTAAGTACCAGTAAGTAAATCAAAGTTTTGAGAGCTGGCATCTTCCATGCAGCAGCATGGCCTATGTCACAATCTTAAAGGTCTTTTTTGCATGAGGGTTCATAGA